CATGTCTTGCTAAGTTTTTAATTTTTTTGTAGAGACAAGGTCTCACTATATCACCTAGGCTACTCAAGTTTTTTAGACAGAATCTAACTCTTTCAACCAATTGACAATCAGAAAATCTTTGCGAGCCGGGCTGGTGGCTCAGCCTTTGGGAGGCTGAGGTGAGTGGATTGCCTGAGCGCGCGTCGAGACCCGCCTGGGCAACTTGGTGAGCCCTCATCTCTACAATAAATAAAAAAATGAGCCAGGCGTGGTAGCGCGCGCCTGTAATTCCAGCTACTTGGAAGGCTGAGGCGGAAGGATCGCCGGAGCCCAGCAGGTCGAGGCTGCGGTGGTCGGGAGCGGCCACTGCACTCCAGTCTGGGCGACCGAGTGAGACTCCAACTCAAAAAAACCAAAAACAAACAAACAAACAAAAACAATCACTATGGACCAATGACAATTAGTGTTTCTGATTCTTCTTTTTTCCAAATAGGACTTTCATTATGGTTATCCTGTTCCCACATCATTATTGGATACTGGGGAGGGAGGGAACAGATAGCTAGTCTTTTAGCTTATAAATCTACAAACCCTGAGGAGCCATGCTTACTAAAATCCTTTCCTCCTTCTTCCGTAACAATTGCATTGTAGCTAGGATGTGGTTGTGCAGCATGGAACTATATTTCCCAGCATTCCTTGCAGCAAAGCCATGGTCACGTGACAAAGATTTCCCCAGTGCAATGTGAGCAGAAGTGATATAGTTAACCAGTTCCCCTTGTTTAAGAGAAATGTTTCCTGGCCCTGAGATTCTTCTGTTTCTCTTTGCTGGCTGAAATAGTAACCGCTAGAGTGATCTTAGAAGCCACATGTTGAAGATGAACCAGCCTAAAACTTGAAACTGTTATTTGAGGAAAAAAGAAACTTTTTTTTTTTTCCGAGTTGGAGTCTCACTCTGTCACCCAGACTGGAGTGCAGTGGCCGCTCCCGGCCACCGCAGCCTCAACCTGCTGGGCTCCGGCGATCCTTCCGCCTCAGCCTTCCGAGTAGCCAGTATTACAGGCATGTGCTACGACGCCCGGCTGACTTTTTATTTATTGTAGAGATGAGGTCTCGCCATGTTGCTCAGGCTGGTTGCAAACAAGCTTCTTTATTCTTTAAATTACTAAGTGTTGGGCATCTCCTTGTTACATCACATGGATTTTTGCCATAACTAATGCGCATAATTTGTAACTGTTTGAACTTATAATGAAAAATATTAATGTCCAAATGTATGAAAAAGTAAATAGTTGATTTCTTAAGATTTATTTTAAGAGATTTACAAGCAAAAGTTTAGACTCCTGAAATAGTTCATACTTGATTGTCACTGCTTCTTCACTTTCTTTTTTTGTTTGTTTGTTTAGTTGGAACCTCACTCTGTCCTCCAGGCTGGAGTGCAGTGGCACATTCATGGCCACCCCAGCGTTGACCCACTGGTCTCCGGCCATCCTTCCACCTCAGCCTTCTAAGTAAGCCAGAATTACAGGCGTGTGCTACCACATCCAGCTAATTTTTTATTTACTGTAGAGACAAAGTCTCACCAAGTTGCCTGGGTTGGTCTCAAACCCATGGGCTCAGGCAATCCTCTCACCTTAGCCTCCCAAAGTGCTGGGACTACAGGATGAGCCTCAGAGCTTGGCCTCTTCCTCACATTTTAGTCACTCACCTACCTATTGTCTTCTTGCTCCCTCCCTCCCAAGGTTGTCAATCACTTGGTCCAGCCACAGCAACTTCCAGATATATCCAGTGCCTTCTCCACTTATAGTCCATTCTAAGGAAGTCTAACCCACCTTTAGCTCCTGTTAGGAGAACTGCTCCATATTTTGTTCTATATGACCCAGGGTGCTCTTCTTCTTCAACACCTATCTTGATCAAAGCAGACTTGACCAGGTTGGGCACTTGAACAATGAATGATGTTCAATCCATACACGGGCCAGGGACCTATGATGTAGCCTGGCCCAAATGCCAAACTGCCTTTATCATATTGCCTCTCTTGGGTAACTGAACTGGAAAATACGAAACTGATGGAAAAGGAAGCTGAAGATGAGCACATGTTTAAAGAAAGACCATGAATTAGTGTTGGAACAATTAAGGAGACCAAACAAACTCACATTATAAAGAAGCAAAAACTGTGAGTTGGCAGTAGCTAAGAGTTAGAGAAGAGTTATATAGAAAAGAGGAAAGGATGCCGGGCTCGGTGGCTCAGCCTGTAATCCTGCGCCTTTGGGAGGCTGAGGTGAGTGGATTGCCTAAGCCCGCAGGTTTGAGACCTGCCTGGGCAGCAAGACCTCATCTCTACAATAAATCAAGAAATCAGCCAGGCGTGGTAGCGCGCACCTGTAATTCTGGCTACTCAGAAGGCTGAGGCGGAAGGATCGCCGGAGCCCAGCAGGCCAGGCTGCGGTGGCCGGGAGTGGCCACTGCACTCCAGTCTGGGCGACAGAGTGAGACTCCAACTCAAACAAAACAAAACAAAACAAAACTTTCAACTAGGCTGGGCTCGGTGGCTCAGCCTGGAATCCCAGCACTTAGGGAGGCCGAGGCGAGAGGATTGCCTGAGCCCAGGGCTCGAGACCAGACTGGGCAACTTGGTGAGCCCTCATATCTACGGTAAATCACAAAAACTAGCCAGGCGTGATGGCGTGCGTTTGTAGTTCCAGCTACTTGGAAGGCTGAGGTGGAAGGATCGTCTGAGCCCAGCAGGCCGAGGCTACAGTGGCCCTGAGTGTGCCACTGCACTCCAGCCTGGGTGACAAGAGTGAGACTCCAATTCAAAAAAAAACAAAAAAAAACCCTTTCAACTAAAAAAACATGGGAATTCTGGATAAAATATAACAAATGCCTCTCAAAATGCATGGCTGAGGTAAAATATTTAAATCCTGAGGGGAGATAGGACAGAGAGAAAGCTGAAACCAAACTGGTAAGCACGCATTAATATTTTGGCTGTCATGGAGTAAGAGCAAACAAGAAGTACGACAGGAATGAGAGATAAAGGGTCGCTCAGTGAAAGGATGAACTATTATTCTACCCTCCATAACAGACATGATGTTGATACTTGTGGATACAGACGTGATGTAGATTGACAAGAATACTTGCCAGTCTAAGCTTGACAATTGCCTCTCCCCTGCCCTCAAGTAGATGCCACATCAGTGGGGAACACAGATTAACACTGTCTCCAGTGTGGCCTTCCGGGCAGCTGGTACACCTTAGGGGTCCCAGTTCTGTCTGAATAATTGAGTCTAGTCCTCATTTGGAGAGCTTGTCCGAAGGGCTGTCAGTTTAGCCTGTTCTATTTGTCTACTCCACCAGGCATTTGTCTACCTCATGGAATGACAGAGTGATGGCTATGGGAATGGGGTTGGGAAAGACATTTGGAGATGCTTAAGTGATTTGTGTGGAAGTTTGTCAGCTGGTCTCTCTCGCTGCTTCTGGTAAATTTCTCAGTAAGATAAAGGACAGTGATGATCAAATTGTGGGCCGAGCTGACTGGTTGAAGACAGCAGACTCAGAAGTCAGTTTAATTTAAAGTGCACAAGCAAAACAGTTATGCAGAGCCACACCAGGGAGTTTTGCCTTCGCAAGAAAGGTTTCAGAAGTGAGTCTAAAAGACAACAGATCATTAATGTCCCTCCGTCCACTGTTCATCTTGGCATCTGAGGTGTCCACTCCTCTCCCTCCACCTTTACAAAATTGGTGTGGCCTATTCCAGGAGCTATAATTTCACCTTTTCTCAATCATCCATTACTCATATCTACGCCTTTTGTCTACAAGGATCACATGCAAGAGGAATAAGTATAATTTTATAAAACGTACAGAGATCCAATGTGTTCCCTACTTTGGCCCATGTGGGTCATTGTAAGGGGACTCTGTGAGCAGTGTACGCAACTAACTGGTCATTATTCTTTTTTTTTTTTTTTGAGTTGGAGTCTCACTCTGTCGCCCAGGCTAGAGTGCAGTGGCCTGCTCACAGCCACCGCAGCCTCGACCCGCTGGGCTCTGGCGATCCTTCCGCCTCAGCCTTTCAAGTAGCTGGAACTACAGGTGCACGCTACTATGCCCGGCGACATTTTTTTGATGTATTGTAGAGCCGAGATCTCGCCAAGTTGCCTGGGTGGGTCTCGAACCCGCGGGTTCAGACAATCCACTCGCCTCGGCCTCCCAAAGTGCTGGGATTACAGGGTGAGCCACCAAGCCCAGCCGGTCTTTATTCTTATGTTCGAGACAGTGTCAATCTAGAAGGAAAATCCAGATGGCTGAACCAGAATTAAGTTTCAATGCTCTCAGCCCATTTTGGAGTGCTGACCCAGAGAGTGAACCAAGCAGGCTGACGTGGGGTTACCATTAAGGGAAAGAAAGAAGCAACATGGCTAGAAATGGTCAGGAAAGTATTCCGAAGTTTCAAAATAGGTCTCTATAAACCCCTCACCTTTTGTCCTGATCATTACTCAGGAAATATCTGAGAAGGAATGATTCCTTTCTGGGGAAAACTACATTCAGTAACCAAATTGCCTTACTAAGGTGTGTAGACCAGAGGAGGTAAGGGAAGTAGAGTCAGAAATCTTTTTTTTTTTTTTAATTAACATCTTGTAATAACATAAGGGTAATCAAAACAATATGAACAAATGTTTTTGAACTATATTCCAAACAAAGGACACCTAAAAAAAAACAAACAAACCGGGCTTGGTGGCTCAGCCTGTAATCCCGCGCTTTGGGAGGCTGAGGGGAGTGGATTGCCTGAGCCCGTGGGTTCGAGACCCGCCTGGGCAACTTGGCGATACCTCATCTCTACAATAAATAAAAAAAAAAAAAATTAACCATGCGTGGTAGCGTGTGCCCGTAGTTCCAGTTACTTGGAAGGCTGAGGTGGAAGGATCGCTGGAGTCCAGCAGGTCGAGGCTGCGGTGGCCGGAAGCGTGCCACTGCACTCCAGTCTGGGTGACAGAGTGAGACTCCAACTCAAAAAAAAAAAAAAACAAAAAAGCAAACAAACGATATTGTTCTCTCAACAATTTCTTACTTCATTGATCATTTCTAGTTGCAGCAGGGTAATATTATCTCCTTTCAGCATGATCCGACCCACTTGTTTTCTTGACTTTGTTTTAGAATGAATCTCTTCTGCATCATCTAATACAAGGTTCATATACTCATCAAAGCCAATGATACAGCCCTCTATTTGCATATTCACTTGCTCATAAAGCCACACCTGAATCCGTGATGTGTTTCCCAAGTATCTGAAGATGAGGTTGATGGGCTGTACCATCACCTTCTGCACTTTCTGGCCCTGGCCACGATAAACCATGGTGGAATCGAGTCAGAAATCTTTTTTTTTTTTTGAGTTGGAGTCTCACTCTGTAGCCCACACTGGAATGCAGTGGCCGCTCCCAGCCACCGCAGCCTCAACCTGCTGGGCTCCGGCGATCCTTCCGCCTCAGCCTTCCAAATAGCTGGAACTACAGGTGCGCGCTACCACGCCCAGCTAATTTTTGATTTATTGTAGAGATGAGGTCTCGCTGCCCAGGCGGTTCTCGAACCCGCAGGCTCAGGCAATCCACTCACCTCAGCCTCCCAAAGCGCGGGATTACAGGCTGAGCCACCGAGCCCAGCCAGAAATCTTTTAAAAGTAGATTTTTGAGGAGGCTGGTCAGACTCCACAATACCAGATGCCTGTGAATGGTAGAGAGCATGGAAGGTCCATGGAAGATCTTGACAATCAGCCCATTGCATGTGACTTTTGCAATAAAAGAGGCATTGTTGTCAATCCACAAATGGCCTGGGAAGCTGATCACATAGCACAGATTAGCTTCAAGGGTCACAGTGATTCGTTTGGACTTAGCTGATCAGACTGGACCAGCAACACAATAACCCGAAAAAGTATCGGCAGCAGTGTGGTCCTGATGATAGACCCAAGAGGGGATCAACAGTCAAATGTGATCAGTCTTCCAGGACCACTTAGAGTCAATACCTGTACAATAAATATGGCCTCTCTCACTGTGAGATGGGAGTCACAAATCTGGTATGCCATGATAATGTCTGCATCAGAAACATAAAGTTCTTTATTTTGTGTCCAGTTTTTGAGGGTGGATGTCTTTCTGTGTCTGATCAAGGTGCAATAGTAGTAATCTGGGCAGTGCATCAAGGAACAGGCCTTCCCATGGACATCTACATTAGTGACTCAGATGGTTTGATCAGCCGCCATGATTTGTTTCCACAGTACATGACCCCAAGGAGAGATATCTTTAATCTGTCAGGCTATAGTTTTCCATGTGGCAAACCAAACAACCAGACCATTGGCAATAGCCAAGAAGTCAGTAAAAACATAACAAGGTTCATCAAAGGAGTATTGGTCAGAACTATAAGAATGGCTTTGAGTTCTGCCCACTAAGTGGAGTCACATTCATTTTTGGTTCCACATAGCTGGTGGTATGGTCAAATACCTGCAGCATTCTAGTGTATACCATTGGGTTTCACTTTGGTTGAACCATCAGTGAACTAGGCCCAGGCATTAGAAAAACTTCTGTGAATCAAGGATTCCATTGCTTCAGGCTATAGAGTAGGGGATAATTCATCCCCCATGGGAATAGCTGTCACTTTTTCATCAATGTCAAGATGCTGCTTGAGCCAGGTTTGCTAATTCCTTGATATATTTCCTTTAGGCAAGTGAATCTTGTTGGGCCATTCCACCCTATTAGTCACTGGGTCTAAGTTGACCCGCCCTAAAATAGGATTATGTTTGGAGAGTCACAGGGCCTCCATGAGTCAGGTGTTCAGTTTTGACAGAGCCCCCTAGCAAGCTAATAGCTACTTTTCAAAAGGATTGTTTCTAGTAGCCATGTCAGGGAGGTGACTAGTCCCAAATGTCCCTTCCAAAGGGGCATTTCTGGGTGGAGGCTGCCTCCCTTTATCAGAGACTTCAATCAGCAAATTCAACTGTCATGATCATTAAGTTTGTGGAACCCTGACGGTAGAGAGCGTGTCATAGCTTGCAGGACAGCTCCAAGCACAGTCTGTTATGTTAGCCTCACTCACAGGATGCTGACTCAGCAAGTTAACGGATTTAAAAAAAACAAGTAGCATGCCTGAATGAGGTACATCCTGTCTCCAGTATCCAAAGTGTCCAATAAAATACTGGGCTTCCTTTTTGATTTAGGGGACCAAAGAAATAGCAGTTTTCCATGACTGCCCAAGGGATTGAGTGTTATAAGTCCATCGACATAGTCCCAAGAGACTTTGCTTCGTAAGTCAACAAAGCATCTTCTGTATGGTGAAAGCTTTGGACACTGAAGTGTAGAGGAACTCATGCTAGATTCTGACTCACCCACTGGTGGCAAATGGCAGGGGAGCTTAGATACCCCTGGGGAATACTATAAACATTTATTGGAGGCCTTGCTATATGAATGGGTACTTGTTATGGTCCAAGTAACGCTCAGCTGCTCCCCTTGATACCAATAAATCAAAGGGGCAGGGAACTGGTAGAAAGAAGTTTATTTCTAAGTTCGAATCCAGGGGGCAAAGCCAGACTTGAGGTCTTTCTAAACTGTAAAAGCCTAGAGGGCTCTGCTCACCCTCTAGGCTTTTACAGTTCACTTTTAGAGTCCAGAGTTGTTGGTACCTATACATTAGCCATGTGACCAGCAGAACATTATATAAAACTTGAGTTTCAGCCGCATTTATCGATAGTGACATTTTTCTGTCCAGACTTCCTGGTGCCAGCTATCAGAGGTATCTCATAGCTTTTATCAGTAGGGCCCAGCATAAGCAGCAATCAAGCTTGCTGTAAAGGGCCTTTATATCATGCATTACGCAAAAGTTATACAAATCACAAAGCTCACGATTACATTGATACAAAAGTTATATAATTCACAAGGCTTAAGATTACATTGATACTATATTATTCAAACTTATAGCCACTCAGAAAAAGAGAGTAAAAGATTTGCATCTTTCAGTTGATGATGCATAGACTATAGGGAAATCAACGATCCCTTGAAGCTACTCACTGGGAGTGCATAGGAGATAAGGGGAAGCACACCTTTTATTAGCTCTCAGGAACGTACAGGAGCACTTGTGCCCTGGCCATGCCCTTCTCTAGGGATTGTGACAAGATGGACAGACATTAGAGGGTCTCTATATCATACTGATCTTGATACTCAAGTGTCAGTGAGATGGCACAGAAGGTGTTGGCAAAATCTAAGACAGCAAACCAGGTGGTGTCTGGAACATCCAGGGATATGAGACCAACAGTCTGCAATAATCTACTTTAAACTTCAGCTCCTGCTAGTCTTTTCCACTGGTCATATAGGATTGTTGTATTGAGATATTGCATTATTTTCCACTTCTGATGCTTTAGGTCCTTAATCAAGGCTGTGATTTTCCTTTCTCTTCCTGGGATTCTTTTTAGCTTTGGTTGGACCACCAGGGAGGAGACAGGGAGGTAGCTTAAGAAGCAATTTATACTTCCCATGGTCATTTGTCTGTATGCCATTTTTTCTAGTACTGAAAATCCCCCCTGGCACTTAGAGGCTGCGGATATAACACATCAATTCCTACTGTACATTCAGAAGCAACAAGCACAATACATGGAAATGGTCCAATGAACACCACCCCATCCACAAGTTAGATTTCCATCCACAGTATGAACTGTGCCTAAGCACCGTCAGCTGGATCTGAGGACTTTTGCCTTCTCCAGGTCTGGGGAGATGGTGACTTGGGCACCTGTATTTCAACAGAGCCATAGCAGTTTAAATTCTTTATTTTCCCCAAATTCCGCTTGGATGGGTGGATTTCGTTTTCATTCCCTGTGAGGTCAGGAAAACCTTGCTTTCATCCTTCTTTTTTTTTTTTTTTTTTTGAGTTGGAGTCTCACTCTGTCGCC